GGCAATCGGGTAGGAGGCTCATCTGATGTTAATTGATACCACCGCTCATGGACACTTTCATTGCCAGAGGGTTCGCGAGTGCGTTGCCGGCCTTTTAAGAATTGGTACGCTTTTTTCTAGAAGGACCCTAAGTCGAATTGGTTATGGCGTATATTAATGAGAATAAACACAAGGGAAGAGAAGCGCAGATTAGAATGACTTTGTTCCAATGTGCGTGATGTCAACATATCCCTACAAGCATTATAACCTAATCAATATTGACCCTTAAATGTAAGTACCGGAAATGTTAATAAAAGCCCTGCCATTCATAAAATTTTAATGATTTGATAATTTGGGGCCACGTGCACGTGAATAATTCCGCTTTATTCAATTGCAGTTCATTCAAGTAACAAATTATAATATATTTAGATCAGTTAAACAGCCAAGAAAAATCTTGGCTTTGAGTAGAAAAACTGACATAGAATATCTTTATTCAAATGTCAAATGGTTTTATGAGATCAATAGACCTCTTTAATACTTACTTTTTATACCAAATCTTTTTAGGGATTTTTTATCAAAAGATACTGTTTATCAAGGCGCTATCTACAATTAGTAAATAAATCAGAAATTATACAATAATCATCATATAATGTAATGTGTGTGTATGTAGGACTACGTATTATAAATTCATTATATAAGCAATGTACAAAACTTTACTGACATCATATTCTAAGCTCTACTTAATAATTCATATGTGCAGCCATTAGAATATATAATGTATTTCTATGTAATTCAAGGGAAACAAGTCAACTTGAACTAACGTCGCAATATCAAAGTCGGCAGACGTCATTCCAGTTCCCTTTGTCCTTTTACGGTACGTTGTATTTGTTCTACTAAGTTGTGGTCTATACCTTACATAGAACTAGAAAGAATTCACAACTCTTTAATAAAGTAACATTCCGTTATTCTAGTTACGTTACAGGCATACTCAATACTAAATCAAAAGTTATTTTATTAAGGTAAGATTCAGAGTCGAGAGATAAATAATTCCCGTATTTCAAAAACATTGAATTTTAATCATACACACCGTAAGAGCCAAAGGAATGTCACTATCATAGAAATAAATAATGCCTCAATATAGTTACTTGCTTAGTTACGTTGGCTTTGATATCTATCGGTCTGTTTAGGTGGTGGTGTGTACGGAATTTTCAAAATTATTCATGAGCAAAACAATCTGATGCCGGCTTCACGAGTACCTACTAAAAAAGGTGTTTTAAAAATGTTCTTGTTTTTTCGTAAAATACCTGTGCGATCTGGTTGGATGGCATTTCGTCTTGGTCACATGCGAACTGGGGCGGTGGAGGTAACACAGGCGGCAGGGCGCGCGGCTGCGTGCGGAGCCCCACGGGGCCGGCGCCCGCGCGCCCCTGCATGCGCGTACACACACACTAACACTACCCGCCGCACACTAGCGCATGCCTTCACTGTTCTGCACTTAAGTGACTTTTCACTAGACTCAGAAATCAGAATCGAGAGATGGTCCTTATTATACCGGATTATAAAATTGCAAGCAACTATCGATTACCTCCTTTAACGATAAATGCAAGACTATTTTTTCAAAACTAAAGGAATAATAACAATTTGATCAAATACTGATGAAACATATGAGCTGTTTAGAGTACATATATTAAACTACTATAAACCACTGTATTGCATTAAGTTAACGCATATTTATCTGTATTGCATTTAATAACGCAAATATTATATTTTTATCACGCGAATCACATTTGGAATGGAAAAAGTTTAAAGACTTGAATGATCTTACTTCTTTTTATATTTGTTTGCCAAAAATTTTAAAGACAATATAAAAAATAAAAATTCCGCTGCAACTTTCAAAATAGGCCATCTCATTGAAATCAGATGACCCAATTCCTAAGTAGGTAGATATTACTAAAAATGGGAAACCAAGCGTTTATCAGCTTTCAAAATATCAAGAATTTCAGTGCAAATTCTACCAATAAACTAGGGTACCGCTACCGGCATCAACGAGCAGAACTTCCGCATGACTTCTCGAATTAGGTCAGGGAGTGACGGAACAAATGCGTATTACAAATACGGGGGTAGTAACCAAATGAGGTTTAACTGGCGTCACATAAGAATATTTAACGAAAGGTAGGACCCATATCTAGGTTACACTCCGATATATTAGCAAAAAAAATCAATTTCATTACCCTTTCAATAAAAGTTAAACAATGATTGATATCACATTTAACTTTTTTTATTATTAAGGCCAAACAAATATCGTCAAAACCTCAGGGTTGTCATTTCCATCTTCGGAAATGGAAAATAATTTTATTTTTGTCTGTGACGTCAGCTTTGTCTTTTTAATTATAAAAAGTTTGCTCATAATACAAAAGCATTATGCAGTTTTTTTTTTCATATGTTCTACAATGTATTAATTTACATAATATGTAATAATTTGAAATTTAATTTTTAACACCTAGACAACATCTTTGTGTACAGACGAGGATTTAAATAGTTTAAAAAGTAATGATTCTCTTAATATAGACTCGTATTCTATTATGCATTTATTAAGACTATATTGTTTTACCTTCTACCTGCCTATTGTTCTTACTATAAAACAGATATTTTTATTTACTTCGTTCTGAATTCGCTGTATCCTATTATTTCCAAGGCAGGTATATTTGTTCAAACGTTTGAAAAGGTTTATTAAAACGTGAACTCGACTGTAAAAACGGAAAACGCTCAAAGGGATATTTTTCCTTAATTCTTTGCAGAGTATACATACGCAAAGATCCGTACGAGGTTATTAAAGTACACTGTTTACCTAACCTACCTTTATATATTGAATTATATAGATCGTTCAGAAATAAATGTACATACATATATATAATAGAAAAAGGTACAAAATCTTTATGCAGCTGTTAATAAGCTCAAAAGTCCCATTCCATTCATACGTTATATGAATTTCGCAAAAACAAGAGAGTTTATACATTCAGTGCAGTCAATGTTCTCTTGTTTTTTTTGTTTTTTCTTGTGAAAGTCAAGGAACGAGCCATCGAAGGCGTAAGTGAAACGATACTGACACAGCATAAATGCAATGATTACTCCTCATCGTGTGGTAAAAGTTGAAGAAGGTCATGAGACGCTAGAAAATAAAATTTGAACCAATGAGTTTCATATAAAATATTGTTTTATTTGAAGCCACAAAAACGAATTAAATATAAAACGAGAATCATCCCGACAGCATGAATTTATAGATTTTTTTTTTACAATTTCGAAATATAAGAAATGATACAAAAGTAGTTTTTTTTTAATTCGGGCTTTTAAAAATATATATATATACATACCTACATCAAGCGGAGTATGATTAAAATACTTGTTTTCTTTTTTAAAATAACGTTTTACCTAAAAAAATATTTTTTGTATATAATAGAATTATTTAAAAGATTCGAACAATAATCCCAACTTTAATAACGTCGACAGTTTTATTTCCATAAATATTAGGAGCTCTACAACAATAATAAGATAAAATAATAAATATAACAAAACAAAATTTACTTATCAAGACTTTATGCCGTTATTGGCGTAATGATAAAATAAATAAATCAATTAAATTATTGGTATATATTATTCAATATATAGATTCCTAACACCCACACACATGTCAGTTTAAATATTTTTAAACGGCTATTTTTTTATCATCATGTTATTTAAATAACAATAATAACACTAGTGACTGAACAATTTTTGAACTCATTTGTTTCCATAATACATGACCGGATGCATTGTTTAGAAAATACATAAAACATTTGTATTCCTTTGACAGGAATGCTCCTGTAACGAATTAAGCTGACTATCCCTTCAGAACAAATAGAGTTCTTTTCCAATTATAGTTTTGAGGAATGTAACAATCTGTTTGTGTTAGAAGCAAAGGTAAAATGTGTATTTTCTGATCACTTGAAGTATTTGTAAGTTTTTAAAGATCGATTTTTTAATTATAATTCCAACACTCCTCCAATTAACGAGTGCACTCTTATGTTTTATGTGTGCATTTAAAAAAATAGGCCACACTAGTTATAACTTAATCTAGCGAATTTAATAACGCAAATGTCAATACACACCGTGCGTGACCTATCTACTTGTGCTATATTTAGGACAAAACAAATATTAGGTTATAATAAAAGTAGCTCCATAGACTTAAATCACATAATATCTGGCTTAAGAATTTTGCGCATTGAGCCGCGCCGACTTTGAGGTTTAGACAAAAACCTGTACCTTTCTTCAAAAATAAAAGCACTGTTTCAGAGCAAATACTTCGACATAAATAACAAGCAGGTAATCAGGAGAGAGAGGGATTTTTTGTTTTATTGGAAGTAATAATGTATTTAGACGCTCGGAGGGCGGGTCTCAGTTAGGGCGGCGAGACCGGGCGACACAGCGCCTCGCGCGAGACTGTCCCGTCTCGCCGCCCTGCATCACTTGCCACTCACACCCTCCCGCGCGATAACAAAACACAGATTACTGAAAACACTTTTATTAGCCAAAATGCTACTTAAGCTTGGATCGTTCTAGTAAACGGCACTCAGCACGAAAGGTGCTCTGGAACAGTTCAAATAATCTATATAAATAAATTTCTACACCAATTTTTGGTTGTCACACCTGTGTGATCTGCAAGGTTCGGTTCGGTTGCACATTACGCCGAGGGGGACGACGGGGTGTTCGTTGGCAACAGTCAACAACGGTCCGAAGGCGCCGAACGTAACTTGCCCGAGATGGTAACTTAAACCACTTTCTTGATTCACTAGCACCAAATGTAGAAACCATTCTATCCCCAGGCTTAGACGTGTCGTACACTATTTTTGGGCTTTCGGCCGTGTCAGACCGGGGTGCTATACGGTATTTAGCTCCTGTAATTACTTTTTTTATTCCGTTAAACGCGCGCTCTAGTGGTGATTCATCGTAATCCGAAGAACTTTCCCTATTAATAGGAGTAAACTCTATTGGCGGTGGAAAAACGTTCGTGTCGCGCTCTTCTCTTTTTTATAATTTTTTTTGAGTCTAACAAAGAGCGAAGGAGGAGGCTCCGTATTTGTTCCAACAGTGCACATTCCAGGTTTGTAGTCACGTTCTATGGGGATGGTTGTAGGAGAATATGGTTGAGGAGGTAATGTCGATGCTCTTCTCGGAATTAAATCTTCATCTTTCAAATATGCTATGTGTAAAGTGCTAATGCTGAGCGGCTGTTGTACAGATGCAGAAGGCCACAGCTCCCTGGTAGGAGGTACCGGAGACGGCCGCTCTCCCATCATGCGACGTGCCAATTCACCTGGTTGCCAAAGATTACTAGGCGTCAAACCCCCGTGTGCTTCCATTCCGACACGATACTTCACTAAATGTAAGACTGCCCACTAATCCAATACTGGGCTTCAGGCATTTCTAGGTTTTCCTACATAATATTATAGACTCACGTACACAGTGTACCCGTTCTTAATTGGATAGACGTTAGACGGATATTAAATATTATTGTAATGAGATATGCAATTACAAAAATTAACCGGTTTGAAAATTCATACGTCGTTTAGTAACGATAATGTTAACATTCATGTAAAGTGTAAATCTAGGACGAATTTAAATAATTTATCTGCGAGAAGTTTATACATAACTCATTTTCTAAATACAATACAAGTTATATGTACTTTCACCCTTATTCTAGTTGGTACATACGCTCAGAATAACAAAGTCAGAATGATTAGTGTACCATTATTTGCGTTACAGTAGTAAATCAATGATGAAAGAAATTATTATACTCTAAGTAGGTAGGTACCATTCTAAATTAATTCTTTCATTATCTCCCTGAGGACATTGGGCAAGCAATTTCTGTAACTAGTTCATTTTTATTGGAAAAATAATAACTTTGGTTTATTTTCTTGAGGTTATTTAGTATATAAATTGTTGTTTTATGATTTTTATAATAAATGGAAGAAAGCTAAGTCATTTCTGCTAGTAATCAAGTTGTTTCTTCACCAACAAATTTCAGCCAAGTTGGTAAGAAATTACAACCTATACCAATTTTAATGACTGATTTAATTAGTTTATAATTTGTAGGCACAGCCATACCAAAAAATCCAATCCAAAAATAATAATACACAAGTTAAATGTAGTTCCTTCTTACCAATTGCTGTTTGAGATTACTAGACAAGTAATGAAAGGCTTATAAAGTCGGGCTAATCAATTAGAATCATAAAAGTTGTGTCAATAAAAAAAATAAAATGTTTATTTTCTAAGATATTATTAAGGAGCTGCAACCACTACAAAATGTGACATATTGAAAATAACTGGTTCCAGGCCATTTTCCTTGGTGACCAACAACTTTTCCTATTCTTATAAATATGATATGCAATACTTTTATTACATCTCAATCAATTTAATAGTAATAGGCAGGATAGTAGTTGAGAAAAATCTATTAAAATATCTTAATAATGCCCATCTCTGTTCTAGGACTTTTATAACCACTTATATCTCTATCATAATTAGATTATCTCTGCAAGAATCATTGACTTCAACATTGTCTCATTAAATTTTTAATCAATCTTTCACATACAAAGCAGCCACCACAGCTTAGTCAATAGTAGACAATGAACATGGTATATAAAGCCTTGATATTTCCAGCACAACTGATTGTGTAGTAGGCACAGGACTTTCTAAATCTTCTTTGAAGGATTACAGCACTTCAAGAATCACAGACTTGTTAATTGATATTGAATTTCATTTAATTAATTAACATTTCATTACACACCAATGAGTGTATAAATATACATATAATAACTTTTACTTGCTGCTTTTTTTGCTTAAGTCTAATCACACTTACCTTTAGTGGTCTTGTGATGGTGACTGTTTCAATCATAGTTGTTGATGCCATTCTGTTGTTTTCTTCCCCTAAAACATGATGACCGTTTAATTTATTTGGACTAAACAAGGATGGTAAAAACCAGGTATTAAATATTACAAAATAAAACAACCTGACCTATAAACAAATGGGATAAGCCTTATTCACGTTTTTTTATATAAAGAGTAGATAGAGTCAAGATATATTGAAATTATTAACTAAATTGTATTATACGCATGGACATAGTCATTCAAATGGTATTTACACACCTTGTAATTCACAACAAAAAAAGGACAAGTTTTAATATTTTAGTGGTTGTTTGAAGAATGTATAAATTTGGAAATGAAAAGCTAAGCCTCCATAAAAGGATATAATTTATTTAAAACCAAAATAAGAAGAATTTGTCTTTAAAACCAAATTGTGAAAAAATTTAGAAACAAATATATACTTACACATTTGGACCATTTAGTAGTCTTTATGATATACAAATAAAAATAATATTTACGGTTAAATAAGGGAGAACTACATGTGAAAAGCTAATAAATATTCTTTACTTAATGTTTTTATCTTAGTGTACTCTACAAAATTGCAAACAACTAATATCCAGTCCATAAACAAATAACCAAGCCCTCATAGCAGAGCACAGACTAGGAAGGCTACCATTACACTTGACACTAGACAGTATACAGCACAGAGTACAATATCATAATATTGACAGCTGACAACTGAATTGTAATTTTTTCTTTCAATGAATTGTCAATAGGCAGTCATAGAAAAATAACTATTACAAATACCCTCCTTAAAATAGGGAACCTTAAGTTGGCGGGGGGAAATTAATTTTTTGCACTTTTTTTTGGCTCTATCAACTGTTCGTTAACTGTTCTTCATTGTTCTATCAAAAAAATTTTTTTGTTCGTTCTTATTTTTTTTTTAATTTTAAAAAAATTGACCCTCAATTTGGCACGAACTATAGATATTTTGATGTTTTTTTGTTTTTTCTAATAGTTTAGAACTATTCAATAACTGTTCGTTCAAAATAAACAACTGTTCGGCTTTCATTATCCTGTAATTTAATAATAATTAACTTTTTTTTATAAATCTTAATTAAATGTTATTGCGCATGCGCAGTATCAATGCGCATAGTTCTCATAAATTATGCGCGGCCTATTTGAATTCGATTCAAAGAGACAACACAACAATAACAGCAACAACAACAAAATCATCATCATCACCCGGTTTTTACTTTCATTTATATTTTGTTATTTTATACAAACAAAATGAACTCTTTCTTAACATCTAAAATCGTATTTCTTGTACTTATCCATTCTTTTAACATTACTGATTAAATATATTGATTGAGAAAAATAGAAAAGGATTAGTCCCATGCAAACTATAGGTCTACCAGAATCTGATGGCAAAAAAAAGTTTAAAACTTAGCGATTTGCATGTGGCAACAAAAAAAAAATTCATCTGTCATCTGAAATTTCGAGGAATTGTTTTTGGTTTGGCTTCAAATTTACTTTAAAAAGTGGTGAAAATGTCGAAAAAACCTCTTCGATCGCAAGCAAGAAGTTTTCAATGTTTATCAAAGAATACTTGATCAACAAGGTGCAGAACATACACAATCATCGATATTGAGCCCATGTCACTTGCACATTGAGTGGTTAGTAGGAATGACACGTCTTGATACTTTGGTTTATTGGATTTTCGTGTGTATTATATTATGTACTTATATAAACTTTGGTTTATTTCAGGGGTTTCTAATACTACCTTAAGATGAATTGTTGCCGAAGGCTGATCTAATAAGGGCGTATTTAGTACGCCCGGTAAAACCAGGAAAGGTGGCAAAAAAAATAAACTTGGATAGATTTGATTTCGAATTGAAAAAAAAACTAAATATCAGATAGATGAGATTTTTAAATCACACGGCTCCGAAGTTTTGAGGCTCCCACCATAACATTGTACGTTAAACCCCATAGAATTAATCTGGGAATGACTAATGAAACAAAAACTTGCGGGTAAAAACGTCAATAGACCTGCAAGTGATATAAAACTATTAACAAAGAAATGATTTAAGAAGCTTACTCTCAAGTAGGGATCTATGAATGGCGAAAATCTTGTGAACATGTAATAAAAATTGAAAATCAGTTCATAGAACAAGATCAGTTAATTGAGATGCAGGAGGATAGGTTTATATTAAATACTGCGTCTTCTCCTTCATATAAAGACATTTTTATGAATGTGCAGAATTTGGAACCATTTCTAGTTCAGTTCTAATAGCCTATAATTAATGAATAAACTCATGAACGGAGTAATTGGAGTTTTCATCTAAATTTCAAACCCCACATTCGCCACAGTAAAATTTTCAAATATTATCCTTGATCATTGGATAAATTTTTATATTTGCATGTATCACACACAATCAGCCGATATAAGGGAAATAAAGTATCAAAACGTTTTACTCCAATTTCCCCGGTATTGCTAGCGTCAATTTCTTTTTTCCCTTTTTGCCATCAGATCCTGGTAGACCTATATATATTTATATATTGATACAATATATTCTAGAACCAATTTCTTTTTTCATTCTCAGTCAATATTTTTAATTATTAATTATTATTATGACAGCAAGTCAATTTGACAGACCTAGCGAACAGGCTCGCTAGGTCTGTCAAGCTGACAGACTAAGGAGGCAGATAATGTGGCTGGCTTTTTTACATTAAGTATGTAAATTTGAGAAAATATACCTTTATTGATATTTTGCGTTTTAATTATTATCTAGCTATCAAACGATTTCTAAGAATTTTGTTCAAGGTTTCTAATTAGTAACTTATCCTCCTGGTACTAATAGATGATGATGATGATTATGATGATTTTGTTGTTGTTGCTGTTATTGTTGTGTTGTCTCTTTGAATCGAATTCAAATAGGCCGCGCATAATTTATGAGAACTATGCGCATTGATACTGCGCATGCGCAATAACATTTAATTAAGATTTATAAAAAAAAGTTAATTATTATTAAATTACAGGATAATGAAAGCCGAACAGTTGTTTATTTTGAACGAACAGTTATTGAATAGTTCTAAACTATTAGAAAAAACAAAAAAATATCAAAATATCTATAGTTCGTGCCAAATTGAGGGTCAATTTTTTTATAATTAAAAAAAACAAAAATAAGAACGAACAAAAAATTTTTTTGATAGAACAATGAAGAACAGTTAACGAACAGTTGATAGAGCCAAAAAAAAGTGCAAAAAATTAATTTCCCCCCGCCAACTTAAGGTTCCCCTTAGGCTATGTTCACATGTAACGCGCGGTAACGCGCGTCAACGCGCGATCAAATTTGAAGAGCGTTCAGATGATGAGCGCTAACGCGCGTTGCGAGAGTACTCGTCAGTCTAGTTCGGTAGAACGTAGAAAATTGACGTGGAAGAGGCTATTATTTTGTGGTTATATTATAAAGAAAAATATAGAAAAAGAAAACGTACA